CGAGATGAATTTTCTCTCTCTGCTACTTATTTGGATTAGCAGGGGAGAGTCGAGGATAGTTTCCCCTGATTTTTGTCTTCTTCTTTTTATGAAATTTTGTAAGAAGCCGGTCGTATTATGATATGGCTCTTATGAACTTTTAATAAATTGGATTTGGTATGTCTAAATATTTGCATTTTACACTATTTAATTACAGATTTAGTTTCAGTTTTGCCAAGATCCCTAAATGATTTGGTGGAGGGAATTTTCTCACATTCCTAATTTGAATTCTTAGATTTTTATTTCCCTGAAATAATTGCATTAAGTAGCTTTTACTGTCACTTTCCAATTTCTAAGTTGAAAACAAATTCAAAAGTAGCCAAATTATTCAACAAATCAACAAACAAATTTGCTATTATTCGTGTAGATCCATTTGAGGTAATGATGTAACTGTAACATCATGGAAAAAAATGCCACCTTGGTTAAACAAAGAAAGCAAATGTAATAACTCATCATGAGAAAGCTTCGATGGTCTCTTCTCTTCGAACCCATTTGATCTCAGAATTCCAATTACTCTTTCCTTGAACATACTTGCATCTGTATCCAAACACATCATTAATTCATCTTCTTCAACATCACTGTCAAAATCACGAGACATCTGACTCATTACTCCAACCTTGGAACCGATCCTCCCTGCAGACAAACTCAGCAACTCCATGATCTTCTTCTTCTGCCTAAACATCGAACCAAGCGTCTTATTCTTCTTCCCGAAACACGTGCGAGTGAATGCTAGCCATTCTTGAACATTAACATCTAGTTTTACCTCCTTTGGTCTGATCATAACCACCGATGAATCGACTTTAGGTGGTGGAACAAACTCTCTTTTACTCACATCCATTATGAATTTAACATCAGCTACTAACTTCACATTAACCGCCAATCTGTTGAAATCAGAATCTCCTGGATTTGCCAATAGCCGCCTGGAGAATTCCTTTTGAAGCAGGAGTGTTGCGGTGCGGAAGGTGTTTGATCCGTACACAAGCTTTGCTATAAGAGGGGAAGATATGTTGTATGGAATATTTGCCACCACGAGATCAAACGGAGGGAAATCAGTCTTCAGAACATCTTTTTGAATGATCTATAGAATCCAACCACAAAAAGAGGCAAAAAAAGGTCAGAATGTAGTTCCTAGTCTTCTCTTGGACATTTCATCGAACAGGTTGTGTGCACTTCGAAGCTAATCTCCAAAAACAAATAATTTCGTTCCCTAATCCAATCCTGGCACTACAAAAGCCCTTCTTTTCTCTTAAAACTAAACGATTTATATAAGATTATCAAATGCAATTCAGCGAATTAGCAAGCTTTACGGTGAGTTTATCTTCGAAACCATGGTCAGAAACTCTTTTGCGGAGAATCTCCACCATACGCTTATCTAACTCGACGGCTACAACATTCTGAGCAGCTTCTAAAAGCTTCATAGTGAGATTTCCAGTACCAGGTCCAATCTCCAAGACTGTATCCGTGGGTCTGATATCGGAGCTTCGGACAATGGCGTCGAGGATTCTGGTGTTGGTAAGAAGATGTTGGCCTTTGCTCTTGTGTAGAAACAACCCATCGTGTTCCTTCTTCTTCCTCTCGACTTCACCATCCCCGTACCCTCTTTGCCGGCGATCTTGATCGGGTTTTGTACCGACATGGGAGTAAGAGTCTCGTCKGAAAACTAAAGAGGATAAATATGAACGAGTTGGTTTGATCTTGTCGAGCGTTTGGTTCTTCAATCGAAAAATCATAACTTTCGTTTTTTCATAAAACGTTGCCTCGTAATGTCTCTGTCTTCTTCTTATACACAGCATTAACGAAGTATTTAAAAGGGAACATATTCGGAAACAGAGTAAAATTCATTCAACACAATCTTATGGTGTATAAATGGAACCTGAGAGCAAAGTGTATCAAAATTCTACTAATCTCAACTAAATTTTGGAAGAAAGTAAAGGTTTTACAACAGAAGATGTTGGTTTATGAGTGTCGTTGTCTTCATCACCAATTTCGGATGCATAAGAATCATGTTTTGGCAAAGAGTTTGCCTCTCCCAACTCTTGCCCATCACAACCAAATACAGTCCACATATGATTAGTATTGCACCAATCAATCTGACAAAACAAACATAAACACAGTGTAAAAAACTTTATTATAAGAAGATATTATGAAACATTACTATTATGTATTGAGTGAAACATTACCCTCCAAGGTAGAAGTGTTCACCAAGAGCAAAAGTGGCTAAAAGAGCAGCAATTAGAGTTTGGAGAGGCAAATAAGCTGATACAAAGAGTGGCCCTCCTCTCTCCACTACGTATATTTGTATTGCAAACACCATCGCCGAACCTACCAATCCCTGCGGATGTTCACTCACTAAGCATCAAATTAAACAAAAACTCGAAACATTATTAATCTAAAAGATAAACACTTACAGTGTACAGTAACGCGTACAATACGCCTAGTGAGCTTATCTTCCAGCTCTGGATATCTCTTTCAAAATAAGCAGAGATTCCAAAGAACTGGAGTACGGCGAAAAAGCAAGAGTAGGAGATGAATGAGAAGCGAGCTGGATACTTCTTAAGTAGTGGTGACTGCAACACAATCCAGCTTGACCAGCATAAGCAGTGACCCATCAAACAGAAACATCCTAACGTCCAGTTCTTGTTTTGTTCCTCTGCTTCTTCAAATTTTATTGGTTGGTCCATTAAACCAAGGCTCGGTTGGTAAATGGTTGGTCCTTTATAAAGCGTTATAACCAAAGAACCTGCGACAGATACAAATGTTCCCACCATTTTGGCTATACCATCTCTCCTCTTTAATTCCACCTTCTCTATTCTACAGTGGTGTGTATGGTGTTAATGACATATGAGCCATGAAAGTGAGATTTCCAAGAATAAAGGAACATACCCGAGCAAGACAGCCATAAGGAACGAAACAGCAGGAACAACATTTTCAGTTACTGATGCGAATGTTGGTGAGGTATTGTCCAATCCAAAGATGTAAAATCCTTGATTTAGTGTTATGCTGTAAAAAATCAAGTCTTTGAATCAAAAGAGTGTGTGTCTTTGATCTACAATCTCAAGGCCAAAGTATAAAACAAGATCGATTGATCGTACCCGACAAGTCCAAGAAGGAAGAATTGAATCAGAAAACTGGTGTTCATCGCCGGTCTTTCATTTCTGTTAGAAAATAGAAGTGATTTTATAACAATCAAGATTAGATTATAAACTAAAGAAGTAAGGATTAAGATTGGTTTTGACTAAGGAAATGTGTATACTTTTCAAGAAAGAAAGCAGAGGGAGCAAGAACAGAGAGAGCGATGATGGTGCGGTAAAGTGGGAAGACGAGTTTGCTTACTCCCAAGTTTAGAGCGAATCTCATGATCACGGGATTCCCTGCGTAGCCTGTCTGAAACACCACCATCGCTATGTGAAGCTTTGCTCTTTCCGGTACCGGAGACATCTTGCTCCGCCAGAGGAGGACGGAGAGATCTGTTTTTTTTTGGTTTTGTTTTCGAGGGAACTCTTTCTTCTTGGACTTTCATTAAAAACGACAAGAACGAGATAAGACTGTCTTGTGCAGGTTGTCACGTGAGATGCATGTGGGATAGTTTACAGTTTGAGAAGCGACGCATCGTTCCACCTATGAAGGTGAAAACGGCAGGCTGTTTCTATCTGCAACGTTTTCACGTGTAGCTTTACGTGGTAAATAAAGATAAATATAAGAAATTTTTAATATTATAAAATTTTTATATTTATCCAAACCATTTTTAGGTTTTTAAATATAGAATCTATATTATCTATATTTAGTGGATAAATATAACA